TTTTTTTTTTTTTTTTTTTTTTTTTTTTTTTTATATAGCAACATTATTTTAATAATTCTTTTTTAGCACAGCGCAGCACTGCTGCGAAGCCTGCCCTGACACTGTCATATGTGCATTTCCTCTAAGAAATTTGGCATAGAGACTTCTCATCTTCATTCCTTGGGTACCTTGAGCTGCCAGATAACCACATGCCATAGCCCAAAACACAGTTATTCCCAGGAAACCTTGCAGGGTGGATTGTAGCAGTGCCCTGAAGCCATTTTGCCTCGTGCAGGGTGGAAAAGGCGATGATAATTTTCCCTTTCTGCCCTGAGCAGGTGCGTAGCGTTGCTCAAGCTTCTCATCTGCGCTGCTGGAGTGGGTGGCACCTCTGAAGGAGAGGAGAGCTTTGTAAAGCGATTTGGGATCTTTTCCGGATGAAGAGCACATTGAAAACATCCACTGTTACCCGGCTAACCAGCTGTGACTTAGCTCTTACACCCGATACCTGCATATTTCAGAGCCCTCGTAAGCTGCTCAGGTTCCTCTGTTCACCCAGCTAAATTTTAAAGAAATGCAAAGAAGCAAAAGCAAAAAAAAAAAAACAACACCCAACAAAAAACACACAACCCCACTGAGGTTATGTGGAAAACTAGTAATTAAGCAGTGTTTTGTCAGCACTTTTGGTTGTGATCCCATCTTAATGTGGTCGTCTCATTTGAATGTAAATGTCAAATTCCAGAACTCCTGTAGGAAAGCGATTGGGTGACATCCCGCTGGACTCGAGGTGAGTAAAGTGCAAGCTCAGGGGTTTCAGTTAACGCTCTGTTCTGCTCTTTTGCAGTTCGTCTGGTAGGTCTGAAAGGAGTGAGTTGATAACTTGAGCTTAAGAAAATAACCTTTTAGTGCTGAGGAGCAGCATCAAACTACAGTCGGCCTCGGTGCGAAACCAGTCGAATGTGGAGCGGCCGAGATTGCTGCGAGCAGCATCTCGGGGAGGCGGAGGGCTGCTCTCCCCTCACACAGTGTTCAGCAGCACTTCTCACACAAAAAAATTACGGTTTTTTCCTGCCTGGAATTAGGCTACATTTATTTCAGGCTGACCTGGGGAACCGGGGATAGCCAAAGCTCAGTTGCGTTGGTATTTTGGAAACGCAGAATTAGCCGAGGAGTTAGGGGCGCGCGTCCTGTTACGCCAGGTTTGTAAATCAGGTTTGTAAATAAATTTGAGAGCTCTGGTATTGTTGTAAACTCTCTCTTTCAAACAGATCGTATTTTAAGTTGATGGTGCCCCCTCAGCTGCTACGAGTTGTATGTGAGGGTGATTTCCGAACTTCTCAAACGCGACTACTTTGGGGTGAAATGTGGCATCTTTGCAACCCTGCAGAGACGCGCAGTCTGGGACAACAAGTGTGTAATGCCTTTTTGGCGGTCGGGGGGGTGTAGAGAGAGAAAAGAGCTGCCTGGGAAATTTAGGTCAGTAGTTGAAGCTCCCCCTTGGTGGCCCATTCAGACCTTAGTCTTGCCAAGGAGGGGACTAGCTGGCGGTCGTGCCAGCGGCTTTTGTCACGCGTCACCTGGCCGGCGGGACCTTTCCAAGCGGATTTCACCCAACTCGCCGATATGGCGTCGTGCCCTGTGCTTGCTTTTTTTTTTTTTTTTTTTTAACCTGTAAAGGTGAAAGGCTCCATCTCTTGTTACTAATCCCCGGAGCCACCCAGCCCTGTGCAGGCTTCGATACTCTGGCCCCCTGAAAAGGGAACCAGGTTTGATTTTTAAGGGCTGAGCAGCAGCGCTTGGGGAAGGAGCCTGGTGGTCTCTGGCCATGGCCCTTTCTGGGGGGCTTGGAGTAGCCCGTTGCCCCCTCGACGTTCTGTGCCACCGCAGATGAGGGACACAAAGGGCGTGTTGTGCGAGGAGAATGAGTTGCGAAGTTGTACAACTTTCCATGCCAGCCCTCGGCAGTCTCATGACCCTGCAGCCGTTCCCACACTGTCCGGCTGATTGTCCTGGCCCCCTGGCCGGGAATGGGGGGGTGACCTTGCCTGCACAGCCTGACTTGCTCCCCCAGGCCCCCTCGGTCCCAGGAGTTGGACACCGCAGCCGACAAAGCCCGGTTGTGTGGGTGATGAAGCTTGGCTGCCCAGAAGACTATTGCCTGAAGCTTCAGAATGCTTCATGCAGCTCAAATTCTCTTTTTTTTTTTTTTTTGGGGGGGGGGGAAAGCTTTGTAAAGCATCTAATCTA